AGTAACCATGACCTAGCCTCCCAAGCTGCTGGAGCTCATAACCAGAAACTGATGGGACAAGAGCACCACATAGGGTGACAGTCTTTTTTAGCGTATAGAGGCTGGTCTAGTGTAAAAAGTGCTTTGATACCATCATAGGTACAAAGTAAATTTCCAAACTTCTTTGATTGTTAATAGTGGGTGGGAAATGAACTGTGTTGTATCTTGGCTTCTCTTTCTTCATTATGCAAATTAATCTCTGAAAATGGATGCATTTCTGACCCTTTTTGTCCTATCCGGCAGGTGAGAGGTATGGTTCTCAGAAGGGGCTAATAATCCTCACCAGTGCTGTGACAGCTGGGGCTGCTGAAGAGTTTGTATACATAATGAAGAGACTGGGCAGAGCTGTCATCGTTGGGGAACAGACCAGTGGTGGCTCCCATTCCCCACAGACATACCAAGTAGATGATACCAACTTCTACATCACCATCCCCACATCCAGATCAGTCACCTCTGCAGACAGCACTTCTTGGGAAGGGAAAGGGGTGCATCCTCACACAGAAACACCAGCTGAAACAGCACTCATCAAAGCAAAGGAAATGCTCAGTGCTCACCTGCACAGCTCTAGATAGCCCAGTGGGAGGAATGTACCCCTAGTTCTTAGGGAAAGCAAGCTACCTCCCCAAATGTAAACCCTAGAAAGGAGTGGGAACTTCATTTCAATCTCTACAGTCAGTGGTTTGTTCCCTGTACATAGCTCAAAGTGTCCTCCTTCTCAACATACTGACTTTTTTACCCCCATTCTGTGGAACCCAGGTCTTTCTGGGCATGGTTGAGATATTTGGATAAATCACTTGGTTTTTTGGATTCCTCTCCTGTGGTCAAATGTCCAAATTGTTGCAGTGTCTCTTTTGTAAGATTTAGCTCCAAATCACATATTTCCTTTGATCATTTAGAATATCCCAGCTGTCAGTACTGAAGGCATGTGAACCACCTCAAAGCGTTTATGCAAACACAGAAAAGGCACCTCTACTCCTTTGGAAATTGTGTACATTCCTATTTATACATCTTAAAGAAGAATTAACAGTTGTTGGGAGAGTGTTTTCCAAACTACAAGAGCTAAATCAAGTGTCTTCTCCATTTCATAATTTAGATGTACATAACCATTCCCAGTCTGTCAGGGTTGCCCAGACTCCTGGTATTTCTTAGGTACGTGTCTGCTTCCCCCCTAGTATCTGGCAGAGGAACGGGGAATAAACAGGAGAAAGGCAGTACATTTACTCTTTCATCCAGTGCTCAGATCAACAGACTCAGGGAAAAGAATAATACATTTTTACTTAAGGCTAAAACCAGATTGCTCTATGTCCTGCCCCAAAGATAAGAAGAAAGCATAGAAATATCTTTTGCACCCTGCTAACAAGCAGTGGTGTATTCCAAGGCAACTAACAGTTATTAACATGATCTTAATCGATGCACAACATTCCTTGTCTTTCTTACAGTTCTTATCTAACCATCTGTCTTTGTAATTATTTAGAAATACATGTAAATCTAATCTAGATCTCAAAATTTCTCATCTGTATGAAATGCCAGCTGTAAGGTAATTAAGTTAGGAAAATGGTGTCCTGAAATTTAGTCGGTTAGAGTCTAGAGTAGTTACGTATTGCTGTTTGCTTGCTCATTTGTAAGTTATTGCCATTTTTTTATTAATTGCATTTAAACATCTGACTGCAGAGAAACTCTTTCAGTATTTACAGGAAAAGAATTTTAACAATCAGATAGAATTTCCATCTTTTTTACTACTTGTTTGTCTTACCAACTACACTCAGTACAATCATTAACCTGAACTCTTTTGAGTCATTTTTGTGTTCTGATTTTTATGCACTAGCTAGCTGTTGAACTTCTCAGTGTTGTGGAAAATATTTAAATGAATTAAAACTCATACAGAATTTTGTGTAAAGTGATGTATGTATGAAAAATATTAAAGATTCTTAATATGGAAAAGACTGGAGTAGTCAATGAATGAGTAAACAACACTATTGCATTTCTTCTAATGTCTTTTAAACCTCTTTAATATCTAAATGATCCAGATAAACTGCTTTGTTTTCCTAAACACAGGCAGTTGTGCTGTCATGTACAAACAATAGTAGTTGTTAAATCCAACATTTAAAAACTTTAGCCAGCCGTTCAAGGACCAGAAGCTCTACCATATGGTCACAAAGAGCAAATAATTTCCTCCCATAGTAATATGGTAAGTACTTATAAATAATAAATATGTCTAGAAATTGGAATCCTGTTGGGAAAACAATGAAGATCCATTTGCTGGTGAGTCCATCTGAAATCAGTGGTGCTCTTAGTTCACTGAAGTGATCAATTTCACTGGAAAATTAATGTGCAATCTTGACAAATTTTATTAATTGACAAAATATTATTTACTATTTTGTAGGTCATCTGCTGGCTAATTGGCATTGAAACTATCAGGCTTAACAAAAGCCTATGTGTTAAAAAACAATTTTTTCCCGTCTTTGCAAATTGCTATGTCATATTTATTCACATCTCAATGAGCTTAGAACCTGAACATGGTGTACTGTAAATTGTGTTAGATTGTACTTCTTGCTCAAGGTAGCATCACAGAAAATATCTGGTTTGAAGACACTGAAAAGACTGGCTTTTTTGTCTCAGAGTGGAGAGATAACAAGTAGCATAGTTGAACTATATCCTATCTTATTTCACTTTAATACAATGAAGTTGAAAGGAGGTAAATTCAGAACTGACAAAAAGGAAATACCTGTAAAGGCAGAGCCTTCAGGACTCACTGAGGCAAGTGGTACTAAACCTAGTGAGATTTTACTGTTTATAGATAGCAAACACTTCTAGAACATCTAGAATTATGATAGGTAACAGAACTTTCCCTAAAACCTAAACCTGTAAATTCAGAACTAAAGCAGATCTCTATCATCTGTGCGGTCAAGAACTTTATTTTTTTCCCACAGATGCTTTCTACATGGATCTTCCACCTCCTTCTACCACATCAAGGAAGACATAGATCCTGAGCTGTATGTCCCACTTTGTATGTATGTCCCCCAAGTTTGGCTCCACCTGGCATTTCTGATGTTTCACTACTAAAACTGTGAGCTCAAACCAAACCATGACCACAGCACAGTGTCATCAACAGAGCGCACAAAACTACAGACAGGAATTGTATAGAAAATTACACTGCAGTGAAAGGTTTGAACATCACAAAACTATGAATGGAAGTTATTTATGGAAAACCTACGGTTTGTGGTTTAAATGAGAAAGTTAGACAGAAGTTTTCATAGGAAGGAACAAGCAGTTTTGGAAGTTCCCTACCACAAGACAACAGGAAATATGTTGAAACTGCCATCCTTCTCTCTTCTGTTTCAGAGCTAGCATGGACATTCAAGTTTATAGCACCATTTCCTTACCATCCCACCTAGAATAGCTTCCTGAAGTCTAATCCTAATCACATTCCCCTTTAAAGGCAGGAAGAAAGGAGTTGCTCTATCAGGCCTTCTATCAGTATGATAATTTTCCTTTTAGCATTCACAGAACTCTGACCAAGAAATGGCAGCCAGCTTATTCATTTTTTTTCTACAAAACGATGCATTCTTGCTCTCTGGAGAGTGCTTCTAATTTAGTCTTCCCTGATCATACCACAAAAGATGCCTTAGTCCAGTGATTTTTAAACTGTATGATTTGGTTTAGACCAATGGGAGCCCATAGACTGTTTTGATTAGTGAAAAAATACCCCAAGAAAAGCAAGTAAATATACATTCTTCAAAAGCATATCTGAGTGACATTTTTATGGAGAAACATGTCTTCATTGGAAAAAGTTCAGGGATCAATGAATAAACAAATATCCTAATCTGGCATTCTCTATCAGTAAACTCAGAACCCACTGCAGAAACACAGCCTGAATATCTAAGCTTGTCAGCATTGTTACGTCCCTTTTCACTGATCCAGAAACAGATGTTGTGAGAAACAGTGGTTTGATCAAAATGACACAGGCAGTTGCTAACAAAGACAGGAAAAGAACAAGTCAGCTGACTTCAAATTGTCTCCTCCTGTTTTAAAAACCCCAAATCTTAGATGTCTTTTTCTCCCAAGCATTTCTACTTGTAAAAAAGACATAGATCCCTGCTGTAAAATCACAGTAGTGCACTGGGACAGAATGCAGTCCTTCATGAATTCCTTAAGTCCTTCCGTTTCTTCATGAACCCCCTGCTCTAGTGCAGTGCCTTTCCTCCTGCAGGATTTTCTTTGATCTGCACTAGTTTAAATGTTCAGACTTCTAGACATAAGGGGAAAAAAGTTACCAGCATGACTCAATTATAGGAAGTTTGTTTTTCTTCGTCTTGTTAGGCTTCCTTCTGCCTGTGCAATATTTGGTTCACTCAGCTTTAATATGAATATTTCCATTTCAAGAAATAAAATCTTCAAAAATTTTGGATAAACCCCTTGGTTTATGTAACCCAGCTTGGATGAGACACTCAGTTAAACCTGAGACACATAAAAGACATTCCCTCTGCCTGCATAGGGGGCTTTACAGAAGAGCTTGTTTTACACATGGGGAATCAAGTTCTGGTTCTGTTGGCATTTGTGCTGTTTTGCTCTGATGTCAGCACAGGTGTAGCAGACAACAAGATGTCATATTGGTCAGCTGTGTGTGTAAACAAGTCTTAGTTCACAAAACACTTCAGTCAGGTATAAGAAGCAATTTGTTCACTCAGATTTTATGCCAGCAGCCACCTACAAAGGAGCAATGACAGTATTGCACACATTTGCCTGCAGTGTGATTTCCATGTTACAAGAGAAAAATCCCTAATCTTTACATGCTAGGACCAAACTGCATGGCCCCTGCAGCTGGAGGAGGTGAGGACACTAGCAGAAATAAAGCTGATTAAAAAAAACCTCTCCTCTTCATTTTCACATTTGGAATCAGCTCTGCCACTTTTCATAACTGGTTCTCTTGCCTTTCTGCGCATAGAAGGCATTTATACATAGCTTGTCATTACAGTATGTAAATTGCTGTGGCTGAGACATACTCACAAAGAAACTGGGTAAGAGTTCTTACTTTTTTTTTTTTCCCCCAAAGAAAATAACTTGATGACATAAAGGAAAGATATGTCTCCCTGTAGCCTTGCTGCTTGCTTAAGCCTCATACTATAAGCAGAGTGAAGAAGTTTGATTACTGGTGAGTCCTCTAATGATGTCAGTCTAACACATCATTGGAAGAGGTTATGAGATTCAACAGCTGTTTATCAGTGGTTGGTTTTCCACACTTTCTCAAGATCACTTACACCAAAACAAAATCAGTGAAAACATGTAACCAGTTAGATTTGGTACTCCTTCACTCTGATCTAAACGATACACCAGGTACAGGGCACTGGAAAAACAGGCCCTTGGATCAGGGTAATGTTGAAGCGATGTGCCAACATAATACTAGGGAGCATTACACAGTGGGACTTGTCTTTTTCCAGAAGAAATCTGAAGTTAGGCTTCTAACGATAAAACTGTTAAGAAAACATGGCATCTCTCAGTAAGTACAGAAGAGAACATTTTGTAGCAATGGCACCAAGAAATCTTTAGTCTTATTTATACTGGGCCAGGCCAATCTTAAAGTAAGTGATGTAAATCAGGAGTAGCAACATGGAATTATTCTGGATTTGCACTGGAATAAATGAGATCACAATCTGGCCTAAACTATAAATGGGAACTATAACCCTAACCACATATGAATGCAGTTACACCATGGAGTCCTTCATTACACTTTATGGACACTGACTTCACAGTAAACTGGCTGGCACCCAGATAAAACCAGATGGAGTGAAATTTGGCCCATTAAAACTTACCATAAATATATTCCTTACACAGTAAATGTTATTGGACACAAAATAGAGATGGAAAGATTAGAAGGAAACCACATCATCCCCTACTCAATGCAAGGTTGTTCCCTGTGCTCCATGTTTCAAAGCTTTTGTTCATTTTGGTTTTTAATGACTCCAGTGAAAGACCTTCCACCACTGACCTTGGAAAGCTGTGTTACAATCCAGCCAGACCTTCAGTTTCAATTTATGTCTTCTGAACTCCGGGGCATAATGTAACAGTTTAATCACTTTGTGTTGGGAAAATAAAGCTGGGGTGAGCAGCCAGTGGTTGGTCTGCAATAAGTAAAATCTTTATGTTAATAGGAAACTGCCATGTATTAATGTTCAACAGCAATATATTGGGAAGAATACAGTCTCCTTACAGAAATCTCCCAAGAGATAACAATGAGTGTCATATGTTGATGCCAACAGACTGCCTAAGACTCTCAGGGTGTCTTTTATCACTCAGATGTGTTTACTTGCTGATACTTGCATTATCAGCCTAGACATCATCATGGGAACTCAAAGAAAACTTCAATCCAATGTGCAGCAGACAAACACTGGACTATATCATCAGTATGGTGGAAAATAATGAGCATATTGCAATGTCCTTTACTCTTAGCTAGGATATTAGTGGTTGCTGGTCATTCTCTCTCTGAAAGGGATTAATAGCAGATGAGGCTCAGAGACAGGCCACAGAAACATCAGACAACCTGAAAAAATACTCTACGAGAGAGATAAATGCTCACTTGAACACCACATTGTCATAAACTATCAAGAGCATTTAATCCCCTGAATGGATTTTAAAAGTAATGAAAGGCTAATGAGATGAGCTGCAGTAACAATAGACAGGATTGTTGCTTCCCCACACATGCTCAGAGCAGTATAAACTCATCTGTTTCTGAGTCTAAGCAGAGTGCAAACCAAAATAGGCAAGAAAAAAATGTCTCGTGGACAGGCTATAGAGAGAATTTGGTGCTTTCTTTTAAAAAAAGATGGAATTGGTCCTTTTAGAAACCAGATAGACAAGCTGGTCTAACACAATACAGTGCGTGTATACCTGTGTTGTTTTGTGAACGACATTCCTTTTGTATCTGTTAGCAGAACAGAGCCTATCATCCACAATTAAAGTGTGAAGATTCTACCTATCAGTAGCTAATAGTAACTCAAATACTCTAATTGCTTCCTTTAGTATATTCAAAACCTGAAAGCCACCCCTCTCAGATCTGTACACCTACTAAAGTCACACAGATCTTGCAAGCACACATCAGGACAGAATTTGTGCTACCTGTCTACACAATAATGTTGACAACAGGTCACATTTTGATACAGATCCAGGTTGATTTGAATTTGTAAATGGTACTTCAAAAGTGGCAGAGCCTAGAACAGAACTCAGATATAGCAATCAACAAGCCACATCCTCTTTGGCAGTCTACCAGTCAGTTGTTCATGATCACAAATTTCAGAGAGTCTTAGCTTTAAGTCCCTTTCAAAGCCAAGGAGACAGTGCGATACAAGATTTTTACTCAGACTCACAAATATGATAAGAGAGCTGATTCAGTTAACATAAAGGATTAAGAGTCCACCAAAGCTGCTAGAAACACTAACTTCTTTTCTTTTAGCATATAAGCTCTGAATTTTTTTGTGTTTAAAGATTCCTCATTTAATGAGGTGGTTGTTACTTCTGTATTTACATTGTACTGCACAGACACCAGCAAATCAAATACAAGCAAAGAAAACTTTGCAAAACAGTAATTTTGTTCCTAACTCTGCAAATTAATACTGCATGTGCACCCATTTCACTATTTTATTTCCTCAGAAATAGATTGAAAAGGGCTAGGTTGAATTTTCAAAACTTACAACCCACTCAGACTCTTGTAAACATTTTATATTTTTTGCAAAGCATCTATTTTAAATTATTGTAAACAGTGATTTCCTGTAAGAAATTAAACTCAAAAGGAAATGGATGTAAGTAAACTATGTTCCCCTTCTTTACCCAACCTGCCCAGACCCTTGGTGAGATCTGTCTGCACAGCTCTAATTATGAGAAGTCATGTGCCGGGATAAATGATGGCGTTCTCGGAAGTACTCATGACAAATGGGACATGTTAGCTTCTCCTCTCGTCTCCTCTTGCACTGGGATTCAGTTGAGGAGTATTCTTTTTTGTGATGTGACCGCATGTGGAAGACTAAATCAGATGTCATGCGAAAGGACAGGTTGCATTTGGCACACCAGTTCTGGGCAGCCACTCCAAAGGACGTGAAGGTGGGGGGAAGTAGAGTCAAGGAAGAGGAGGAGGAAGAGGAGGTGGAGGAGGAGGAAGAGGAGAAGGAGGAGGAGGAGGAAGAGGATGAGGAGGAGGAGGAGGAAGAGGAGGAGGACGAGGAGGAGGAGGGCAAGGAGGAAGTGGTGGTTGTGTTTTGTAACTGTCCTCCTGCTTGTTTGGGCCACTGTTCTGAGGTATATGGGAAAACATTGCTCCGAGTGATACTTGTCTGCAACATCTGAGCATTACACAAATCACTGACAAAGAACTTGGAATTGAGAAGAGTGCTGCAGCACATGATGTCTGTGGTGGCAATGAAGCCAGACAGTTCCCCCAGGCTCTTTGGTGACTCACTCATGGGATGAGAATTTATTGCAGCTCTTTCTGTTAGACACTTACTGGGTTTGCTAAAAGCACTCTTCTGTTCTCCTCCGGCTCTGGTGGGCCACACAAAGGAGAATGCACTACCGGAAGAGTTCAGCATCACTTCCTTTGATACCTGCTCTTTACTAAATGGGATCATGGTATCCTCCTGTTCTGGCTCCTTTGGTCTCTCATTCCTCAGCTTCTCCTTCATCCTCCTGACCTCAGTGAAAGCACTCTGCTTCTGTTCTAAAGAATCCTTCCAAGCTGGCTGCCTCCCTGAACTAAGTTTCCAGAAAGAACCAACCAATGCATGCTCTCCCCCAACCTCTTCCTTGCCCCCACAGTTATGTTCCTCACTCAGATTATTGGTTTTCTCCAACAACACTGTTTTCCTGCTCCTGTTGTTCTCCGCCTCTTCAGATTTTGCTCTCCTTTCTCCTGTGAGACCATGGGCATCATCTTTATAAGCTGACATTTTGAACTCTAGATCCCTTGCCAGGCTGTGGAAATTTGTGGTCTGCTCAGCTAAGCTGCTCTTTTCAGTCTTAGGGTTCTGGAAGTTTCTCCATAGCAAGGCGCTCTTCTCTGGGACACATAGGAAGCGGACATGGGAGAGATAGGAATGGTCACATTTAAAGACTTGGTCGCATTCTTGGCATCTCAACTCTGCAGAAACAGACAACAGATGATGAGTTTTGCAAAGGTAGAATCACGAATGGATGCAGATTCTGGCCCTGTCATTGACACAAACAAAAACCCAGAAACATCTCATGTATCATACAAGATTACACATGGTAAAGCTAATGCCAATGCAGAATCAGGTCCCTTGATGCTGTGAAAAATGGTTCACTCGTATTTGCCTCTATGTGTACTTGCAGAAATGCTTTCATTTAGATTCTCAAGCCAAGTTTGTATTATGTAAAATGGCCAGTACAAAATGGTCTAGATAAAACCATATGGACTTCATGACAATTTGAAGTCTGAACCCAGATTTGGGTCTACATTTCCTAAATAAGTCACTGGCTTTAATACAGGCTGAGTGTTAAATTCTATATACCCAAGTAATAATGTGGTTTATACCTGGACTCAAAGATTTTGACATGAGCCTCTATTTTCTGCATAGGATACTCTGGAAGTTTAATACCTTTCACATATCATCTGACAACAATGCCTGAAGCCCTTACTTATGCTCCTTTGGCAAACTGCTGTATGCCTTAAGGCACAGAGGCCTGTGGCACAAAAAGTAATATCCAAAGTGAAACAATGCCAGTGATGAGTGGGAGGAATGAAGAGCACTGTTTCCTTCTGGCCTTTGGATGTACTGCATCTCTGGTTCATTGGGATGATTGATTGCCCATGAATAGACGGCACATAATTCAGCAACCAAGACATGTATGGCACATCTTAACCTTTGTAAACTGGATCTGTACTATGTTATTTCACAACACACAGCAGTTTTTAAATGCAAAAGATGCCAGACAGCACCTGAGGCCTGAGATACATAGGAAAGTTCATACATTGTCTGAGTAGAACTACAGACTCCTAATATGTAGGCTCAGCAGAGCTTAGATCACTTCCCAAACTACAAAAACTGAACTTCTTATAAGAAAATAAGGCTGCTGATTTGGGTGGAACATTATACCTGCTAGTTTAAAGTCTTAAGTCTAGATATGGTATTTCTTGTGTAGATAACACTTTGGCCTGGTAAATTCAAAGGGCTGACAGTGTGTGTCTACACAGAAGCTAACAGAATACACTGAAAACAGTTTTAAAAAATATTTATTTTTTCAACAATTGGCAAGCGAATTTATTTTAGAGCAATAAATTTCAAGCAACATCTCAGAATTAAAATCATGCCCTTTCCCTTGTTCCCACTGTATCCCACACTAAATAGGAAGACTGTGCTGTATGCCCTGATCATTTACAGGATTAAAGCTGAACACTAGCCTATACCTGATTCCTTCATAAGCTAAAAAAGGCATATTTCCAATTGATATTTTACGCTTTTAGGATTCCAAGGTAGTCAGGTGCATAGACTTCCATTACACAGCTCAAAAATTTCACCATTAATCCCAAGTGCATCATCCTCTGCTGGAAAGTATCAATGAAAATGCCATTGAGAACTGAAAATTTGTTCTTGCTCTATGCCTCTAGCTCAATCCCCAAAGCAGGTCTTTTTTCTTAGCTGACTGGCAAAGGATTCGGACAGGTTTTATTTCCTGTATAACCACATACTAAAGAAGTTGCAGACTCACTTCAATCCTCAGTGACCCCTGCAGTCAGCAGTTTTGTACTTACCATTCTGGGGACTCTGAGCTTTTATCTCATTGAAACCCAAGAGACTGGAAAGCTCCTCATCATACCAGACAAGCAGCTCCTCATTTTTGTTGATTTTCCTGGTGGAGCGATAATATAACTGACTGTTTTCTAAGTAAGCTTCCAAGTTCTGCTCCTTGCTATCGGCAGCTGCTTGTACAAGTCTCATCCAAGGCAGTCCTGTGGGACTGTGCACAGACGTAATGTCTACCTGTGAGACAGGACACAAAAAAGGAAAGTTTCAGGTCTTGGGACCCAAAATAGATTTCCATCAAATTCAAGAACAAAGCCTGTTTTCTGCCTCACACAGGGCCAGTATACCAAAGCTGTGAGCCCCATTCATACATCAGTATCACCAAATCCAAAGTCACCATAGGGAAAAGGCTGCCCCAGTATGACTGCTGAGAGCTCTGGGAATACAGCTGTACGTGGAGGAAAAGGAGACATCGGTGTTCACATATAACCTCTTATGGCAATGCCAGGGATGGTATATTGGTCAATCTCTAGCCCACTCATGGCAAGGATGATGTCCTCTGTCCGATGCAGGTTGTCCCATGGGACTGTGTCAAATGTGGGTCATAAGGTACAGAAGGTGTGCTCCTCTGTAAGTAGGGGTCTCAATCCCATGGGAAAATGGGATATGAGTCAGGAGAGGTGTGAGTGCTGAGGTCTGGGGGGTGTGAGATATGCAGACACCTGGATTAGTGCAGTGTGAACCCAGGAATGAACACACACTCTGGGCAGTTGCATGTGGAGTTTTTCACTGACATAAGAGGATATGGATTGAGAGGTGTAAAAATATTCTTGTTTATTTGATTCAGCACCCCAAGGAGACAACATCTGTATAACTGTTTGGCAAGATTACATAAAAATTAGTTTTTAATAAATACAATTAAGAAGCACTTATATGGTCTCTTTCCTTTTTCAGAAATAAAATTATATATTTCTATTTATGCCTTCAATAAATTGGTTAAATTCATTTCAAGGTATATAACCAAATAAAAACTCATCAGATTAACATTTTTCATTAAATTATTTCTGAGAGTTGTGAGGGGTTGATACTTTCAGTATGTGTGCATTCAGAAATATCGAACAGATTAAGTTTAAAAGTGTTGCTTAGGTTCCAAGGTCAGGCACTCAGAAGTTAAAAAAATAGTATTAACTCTACTGCTCAAATTAAATTTCCCTTCTGTGTGCATATTACAGCATAGTCCTCAGTCACATATACTCCTTTCTCCACAGGACTCGAGTCATGTAGTCACAGGTTGATCATGCTCTGGAAATAATACAACTATAAAACATTTGGCTTTGTCTTTCTCATTCAGTGTGTGGCTCCCATCCTAGTCACTTTATTGCATTTGCTTGGAATAGGGAATTATTTATTTCTTCATAGTTTTAACTTGGTGTTTACCACAGCAGATCTATGTCCTCTGAAGTATTTGAAAGATGGGGAAGATTTTCAAAGATTGGAGGCTGAAACACAGGATGATCAAGAGCAACATTTACGTGCATAAAAAGCTTCAACTAATTTTTGAAGCACTAAGTCATTATTTAGAAAGGAAGAAGTTTGGAAATGAAAAATGTCTAATGACAAGTATGATCTAAATTTCACCCCAAGCAACGTATAGCTCTTTGTTTTCCACTAATTGTGGGGCAAATATTCATTGGTGTTAGGTACTAGAAACAGTATTTTGGCTATTTCTTTCTCTGTTTTTAACTCTCTCTGACTATTACCTACCATGAAAAGTATGACCACATCAGTATCTTGAATGCAAGAATGAAACATTAAGGGACCATTAGGATAAGACTTAATTAGTATAAGGGAGAAAATAAATTAGCATGCTCTGTAACTGGTTCTCTCTAAATGCCATAGTAATTAACAGTGATTGAGAAATACGGAAGTCTAACAGCGACACAAGCACACCCACCCACACAGTGGTTGTAACTACTAGCTATGGCAAAGGCTGTTGTTTCTTAGTTTCTGTGTTTTCAGAAATACCAAGCATCCACCCGGTGCTCTAAGCAAAGTCAAAGGGAACACAGCTGCTCCAAGAACCAGGATTCCAGGGGCAGAGCTGAGAGAGCTTAAAGAAGGTGGGGAGAAGTAAAGGACAGAACGTAAGATCTGGGTGCTGTCAACTAGAAGCAGCTTTATTTTTTCCATGTGTTTAGAGACACTACAAATCCTGCAAGTCCACTCTCTTCAGATGGCAGTCTCTCAGATGAATCCTTTACACCCCTATATGAGGTAAAGGCTTCGCAGTCCAACAAGCTCAATCACAGCTGGGCTATGGAGGCAATGTGGTTTCCTTGATAGAGGCTGCAGGAGAAGGGAGAGAATAAGACTCTTCCTTGGAACCCCCAAGAAGCTGTAAGGGGCAGAGGAACTCAGTAGGACAGATGGTTTTGTAAGGGGCCCATTTGCTTTGCTGGGGTGAATGATTGGCTGGAAAGAACCACCTGTGCCAATGATTGCCAAGGCATTTTCTTTGCTCAAGCATACAAATTGGCCTAAGGAGCTCAATTTAAGTTCTCCAAGAGGATGAGAGAAAAAACATAAAGCTCCCTTTTGGATTAAATGTAAAAACCCAAAATGAGGAAACCCTTGTTAGAAATAATATTCCCCAAAGTCTTGCAGAAGTGCTGCCGAACTATGATGAATATGACCTCAGCTGCGAAGAATCCACCTTGCTAAATTATTCCTGTGTGTTTTCTGTTTGTACCGTAGACAGCAAATCAAAACCCATATCTTGTATTGTGCCTCAGTGCCATGATAACAATATAGCATCATGACTGAATTGTTAATTAATTGACTACATACAGAGGTAGGAGCTTAACAATAGTTCCTGGTTTCTGGAATGTTTACTTTTAATTATGAGTAGCTAACAGGATATGGGGCCACCAATTGTATCTGAAACATCCACTTGCACAGAATTTGATGTATTTACTGCCAAAAGACAGAGATCTGAACCAAATCAATCCAATTTCATGGCTGCATAACAATTACCTAGCTCAAATGTCGCAGAACACTAGAGCTATCCTTCTGGAGGGCTCTTATAATGTAGAAACCCTTTGAGGCTCTTTCTTGAGTCTACAGTCATTCCAAAACTCCCAGGAGAAATACAGAAATATTCCATAAATAAAACCTCATCTTTCTCCAAAGACCTTATAGTTCTCCTGGAGTACTAATAACACTGTCCAAGAAAGCAAACTTGTGCCAGAGACTCAAACAAATAGTCAGAAAAACCCTGAAGCCTCTCTCTTTCTTAATTTTTTTAAAGCAAAAGTGTCAAACAGGTATCTCCCAACAGCTGCATCTTCCATACTACACATACTCCCTGGGATTTCTCTCCTCAGAGCACAGAAATCTTAGGAGAATCTGGATCTCTCCCAGGTACATCCATGGCATAGCATGTAGGAAATTTGCTTGACTCATATTTTAAAACACTACCTCCCTGTCTTCATCTATACCAATGATAACTGAAATGCACTCTAAGACCCAGAAAGCCAAGGTAAGAAGACAGCATGAGAAATACACATTGTCCATATGAAAATGTTATGATAAACAGTGGCTAGGAAACAAAAAAAAAAATGGGAAATAGAGATGGAGAGTTAACACTCCACCACAGTCCTGGGGTTTCTGACTTTCCCTACATGATAGTCCCTTTTGTTTCACAGATATGTCTTTGTGGCTTCTCTACAGTGATTGAAAAGTGCAGCTGTAACACAGATAGACATATCTAAGATAACTTTAGGAGGACCATGTACTAATAGCTATAAGTTGTCGCTGCCTGAAGATGGTGTGGACTAATTGCCTGGCTGATATCTTCTACAATTCATACAGCCTGTGCTGACAGCACTGATGTTGTGATTTTACTTTTAGGGATAAGTGAGTAAACTGGGTTAACATTTGCTCAGACTTGTCAATAAATGCTGTGAATGTACGACCTGCATGAATTAGTGCAATGCCACAGTCTTCCCCCTCTCCTCTTACAGGGCTGTCACACCTCCAGATAAGCCTCCTTTGTCTTTTGTAAGGATGAAACCTGAGCATGAAGTTTCTAAACTATTTGTCACTCTTTCCTCCTATTCCCAGTCAGTGCTGAAGCAGGTCATCAATTGTCAGCACAGAAATGGGGCTTGGTATTCTTCCTTCAAGAATATTTCTTCCAGCTCATAAATCAGAAATTCACTGGCTACTTCTCCCCTCTGAAGGAGCTGTTAGTTGTGCTGAACAAAACAAAAATCTACCCCTTGGCAAAGTTACTTTCTCAGGGATGGTGTAACCCTTTTTGATATGACTAACATTAAATGCTGCTTTCTTCTACCTTAAACACATAGTGGATGTTCCGTCTATCAGAACACTTGAGAGCAATAAAAGCTACAGTGTCCAGCAGGGTGTTCTGGAGCATGCATGGTCCAAAAACAACTTCTTCAGGAATGTCTTGTGTGGTGTGAACAGTAGCCAATATGTCCGGAAAATGGTGATGCAGCAGTTTGTTGTCATTTGTCCAAAGGAATTTAGGCAAAGATGTAAGTTCCATCATAAACCTGCAAAATAAACAAGAAATCACATTTGGAATAGAGATAGAAAGGGAAGGGGGAATCACTACTTATAATATAAAGACTTCCAGGAGCTGTAGGTGAATTTTAAGAGCATGCTAAGACATTGTTGGTTACAGAGTTTACAGCTTTATTAACGACCAGTTCAGAAAGACAAAAAAATGGCTTTGCACTAAACAAAAATCTTAGGTTTGTAAACAAGTGAGTTACTCTTCTCTGGAATAGGCAGACACTCGAAGAGTTCAACTCCTGCTACGCTACAGCCAGGAATAAGAAGCAAAATTTTCAGTGAGTGGAACTCAACATAATCCTGTTCAGCATATTCTCAAATATCCTTCTTATTTACTATTGATAGTTTGTAAAATGTGAAGAAAGGTAGGGAAGAATAACAACAACAAAAAAAAAGCAAACGCTTTTTGAAATGCATTTTGAAAAAGCTGTGGTTTTTGATTTGGGAGTACAACATCAGTCTAGTTTCTGGTTAAGCCAGTACAAAACTAGGAATAACCTGAGTCCTGAGTCTATCCAACCTGAATGCACAAAATCTGTGGAGGTCGACAAAAAAATTATTTTCATCCCATCTCAAACTATATGTGAGATCTTAATTATCTGCTGTTGTTGGGAAAATAAGATCAGATAATGACTCTTTGTATGGTGATACTCTCATCATAATCTTAGTAGAGATTGCTGTCTTCAGAGGATGAATTTTCCTGTCCTGAATGTAGAATACTACATTTTTCGGAGCAGAGATAATTTCTGCGACGTGAACCACAATCTGAAAACTCTGTATGCAGTGAGGAGGCATGTTTGAGTTATTTGTCACTCTAAGCTAAGCTTCTCTAGATTTTTCATGAAAATATTTCCTTCGCCAGCTCCCAGCTGGAGGTCATGGAAAAACCCTCATTTATACCATCAAGATCTGGATCAGGTCCATTAGGCAGAGAAAATTAAAGAGAATAGCAACGAGACCTAAAGAGGTTTTAGCCTAATAAATACTGAGATATAAGGGCTAAAGATCCAGTCTAATCTTTCTCATTCTATACCAACAGAATTGATTTTTTAGTCACTGACTCATGACTTAAACTGAAGTGATGTAAAGTGCTCAGGAGAGTGATTTAACTAAATAAATTTCTAAATCAGTATAGTTAATGCAGTATCATTTCTTCCTTGTACGCAAGGTCTAAGGCCTTACCCTTAAAATATTAAAATACATGGTTACATATGCAGTAAGTAGTAAACATCTGAAGGATGAAGGCCTAAACCAGACAACTAAGGCAAAGAGTGAGACATAAAAGGTAAAAAAAAAAGGTCAGATGGCTTGACAGAGATTAGTCACCAGAAGAAGGACAGACTGGGTTTCTGCTTTTTCTGATGAGTTTCATTGCCTGGTTTCCCAATAATATCCTAAATTTACTATTGGTGTGAGAATGATGGGATCTATGTGTACATTTGTACAATATATAGAATCTACCTAAATAAATACAACATATTCATATGTATGTGTGTGTCTCCATTTAAACTATACCGATTTTTATAAATGGAAACTGTCAAGGCATATTTATTTTAAATAATACTAAAAATAAAAGTTCCAAACCAATCAGAAAATAAATTTGAGATCTAAAATGCATAAAAGTCTCTCTCAATAAGAAGTTTAGAAATAAATTATAAACTGAGACAGTTCCTTTTCTAAAGAATTCACCTCCAGGAAATTCCTAGTCTCTTCTGACATTATTTTACTTATCCACTTATGACCTTAGAAGGCAATTCCTCTTATTAAGATTTCCCTTTCTATGAAATTAATCTGAATTTCTCTATGTAAACTAAGAGAGTGCTGTGCTTTGGCACACTGACTGATGTCACTCCAGAGGAAACAGAAATTCAGGGCCCTCAAAGCTGAGTTTTCAGTAGGGAAGGATGCTGGATTTGAGCACACAGACTTCTCCTAGGAAGAGGATGGGTACTACCTGTGTATGGTCAGGCTCTTTCTCCAGAAATATCAGCCCAAGCATAGATATGAGGGTCTGAAGAACCTACACTCCCTTCCAGCTAGCTACTGCTGGCTGCTGCTTTTCTCTATTTCAGCAGCATTTCAAAGAGGTACCGTAAACCCAACCCTAACAAGAATCATTTCTCCAAAGACTGAAAATGTGTGGATACCAAGAAAAACTGTACGATTTATGTCTAACAGCACCACCTAGTGATTTCTGCCATAGCATACGTCCCAAAGAAAGATACAAAGGGGCAGGACACGCTTTAGGACTGTTACCTGCAAGATGGGTCTGCAACCATCAGTTCCCAGAGCACACCCCACAGCCTGCACCTCCAACCCGAACAGCTCTTCTGAGCTCCTTGATGAAGATGTCAACAGTTCCCAGCAATGTACATGCTGCTTGTTGTGCTGCCTACTCCCCTGCCCCAAATCCTGAATACAGAAGGGCTTCCACACACCCAAAAGGAAGGGCAGGAACTATTCCCCTGGGCGTAGGAGTCCTGCCTGTACACACTATCCCACAGGCCCTCCTGCAGGCTAATCCTCCCTTCTAGGCAGGGGAAGGGAAGCCATCACTCCTCACTAGAAGCACTGCTCTACAGCAATGGTAGCTGGCCATGGGGCAAATAAATCAATGTATATTCTCCAGCAAATAAATTGATATGTGCACATCTTCAGTTCCATTTAATTCACCTAGATTGATGAGATATGGGGAAATTCAGGTTAATAAGGAGTATCAGATACTTTCTCTATCTTTCCTCTATCCAGACTCAAGCACCCCTCAAACTCAATATGCCATTACAGTTTCCTTGTTTCTAAGTGACTTGTGAATTAGTCAAAGATCTATGCTGGGCGAAAAAAATCCCCCAAACCTATAGGCATAAATGCCAAAGCCTCAAACTGCTCTCCTGGCATCTGTTGTGGCATTTAACTCTTGTACAAAAGTGTCAACTTCGTGAAAAGTTAAGAAAATTATGTACTGTGTGTACACAGCAAATGGGCTTGTTATGGTCAGCCTTGCACCAAGAGCTTTCAGCATGGGAAGATAAGATAAATAATTCAAATAATTTGTCGAATGCACCACCTAGTTTAAATTCTCAATATAACACAGTGTCCCAAGACAAAGCGACAGCAGGACATCCCTGACTCCCTGGTGTCATTAGCGTGTTGCGTCACCACAGCTTCTGAGCACCCTGTCAGGCATGAATCGCTTCTCTCACGAGTGGGTCATTCTCTCTGCCACCCTCTGCTCAAACAGGAGGCTAGGTGCCTCCACAGGTACTGGGTTTTATAGGGTCTGGTCAGGGTTATGTCAGGTAGGTATTGTAATTGAAATTTACAGCATTCTCTTTTTGAAGCAGAGAAGGTTAGCTGAAGATGTGCTGCTCGTAGTTGGAGTGGAAAGTGGTGATATTCTACAACATCTTTAGAAGAAAAAGGATTAATCTTTCTTCTATAGTATTCAAATAACATGAGAAAGCTCTTCACTCTGCATGGACAAGCCTTCAGCTTGCATTACAGAAGCAAGTTCATCATCTCAGGCAGAACAGTGAGCAAGCATGACTGTACTGCTTTCAGAAATACACTGCTACCTCTGCAAAGGGATGTGCCATATCCTGTGGGATTTCTGATGTGGACCAGCACTCACTCAGAAGTCTCCATTGCAAAGCATAAATTCATCCACCAGACAGTATTGGAACAAGTCTTGCCTCCTGCACAGGTGAGGGGTTTCTCTGATAGCCGCAGCCCTTATCTTGGAGAACTGAAATACTGACCTCCTCAAAAGTAAAGACTGAGTCTTGAAACATGACTTGAAAGGAGAGAGAAATTGATTTAATTTCTGAGCACTTTTGTGGAGCAAAGGAAACAAAACAGATTTGCTGAAGGGAGATAAAAGGACCATGGACAACAGGAGTAGGAGGTGAAGGGGAGCTAAGTCTCTGTAAAAGCTTTACAGGTGTCACTGCAATATTTTGGTTGGATTGTGCAACTCAGCAGCTGCAGCATAAGGGAGGGTACCCCCACACACATGCAGACAACCTAGGCAATGTGCTTCTACATTGCACACTTTTTAAAATCCCATTTTAATGGTTGTTACTGTTAAAGAAACTTATCAGGCTGCATGGCACTTCTTAAGAAAGTTTACTAACATAGATTTTATCTTTGTGTCAAGTGTTTGAGGATGGTAGTGTCTGGAAAATGCACACGGAGCTGCCTTTTCAGCAAAGCTCAGGCAAGTTTAGCAGTATCTCAATACTAAATCCATCCAGTGCTCTTTCCCTAGTAAGTCCAGTAAAATACTCATTGACACTACACAGAAGTAAATAATCTCAACAGGGTATGGGCATAGGATTGCCCAGGGCCCTAAACAGCGCTTCTCTTTTCAGCCCTCCCACCACTCATTGCAAACCCAGAGATATCTGAGGAACAACTGTGTGCAAGGTCAGGTCCAACTGCTGCCAGAAGGGGTATCTGCAGGATTCTCTGAGGGCATCAGCAGATGTGTGGCTACACTATGGCAGCATGCAGTGCAGAAGGCTTGCTGTGTAACAGTCAATGCAACCTCATAGCTTGAGAGCACCCGCAGATAGATTAGCATTGCTGAAATACAGCAGCACCACTTGCAGTGCTTAAAACAGGTGACAGAAATGAGCTACAATGAAGTAAGATCACATGTAAGGAGGCCAGAATATAAATCTCAAATACCTCTCAATTTGGATGGATGTTTGATTTGGATCTAGACTAACTCTACATGTTTTTCACTTGGTTATAATCTAAAACCAAAACTTTAGCCACAAACAATAATGCTTGTTTTCTGAAAAAAAAAAAAAAAAAAAAGTTTTCAGGAACTTCAGACTTGAATCTGAATGAGAATTCTGCACCAATCCATGAACCCAGTACTTAAGTTCTTGTTTAATTCTAAATCTAGTCCCAATGCAAATCTCATATCTTTGCCAATAATCTTCATAGTCTAAGGAAAATCATGCTTACTAAGAAT